TTCCGATCTAGAAACTCTCGTGATCTTTTCTAAAGATTATATACTGTAATAATAAAAAATATTCTTTTTTAAAGAAGCATATTGATATTATCGCAAACTAAATTTTAGCAATCAAATCCATGGGTGATTTAAATCAATACAAAATTTTGATCGCGGCTGAAGAGTCAGAGGTGTCATGCAAAGCGATTAAATACGCGTTCGATTTATGTTCAAGACTAAATACGCCTTATAGTTTGGAAATCGTCTATATCATTGCATTGAATCCGGAAACCAACGTCCCATTTTTGTGAGTTTTTGACGTGTTGCTGCACTCTTTTAAATATAATGTTCTAATATAAGAATAATTTGATAGACATAATTTGGACAAAGCCAACAACCTTGATATCCTTTTAGATGCAAAAAAACCCATATCTATGGTTATGGAGCGTCTAAAGCAATACCAAAGCATTTATGTAAGCGATCTTTTTAAAGAGTAATTGATTTATTATAAATTATTACTAATCTTTATTATTAATCTTATTAACGGGAAATATATAGCCGGATGTTCAATATAATTTTAACAAACTTGAAGGTCATGGAATAGTTGGGAAAATTTTAAAAGACTATATTGAAACACACAAGCCTGACTTAAATCTACTAATCGTCGGATCAAGAAATCTCGATGGATTGCAAAAGGTTAATTATTCTTCAATTTCCAAAGTAGTCTTTTTTAAATAATACTAATTATTCTTTTTATTTATTATAATGATTTAAGATCGTCTTGAGTTCTACTAGTGATTATTTGGTTAAACATTTGCGATATCCTGTTACAATAGTCAAGTCATAATGTATTTCAATATCATTAATCCTCTTATAATGGACATAACAAATAATTGCTATATTATCATATATTATTATATATTATCATGCGAGGTCATAAGAAGAACTACTAATAAGAATCATTCTCAATGATTGAATGATTGATAATATTTTGCAGTGCTTAAAGAACGTCACGATCATTAACTAAATTACCAACATGTTGGTATTTTCCGGCGAAATGACCGTGCCAATCATTAAGACTGTCAATTTCATCTCTAGTTAAATCTTCAAGGGTATCTAACGGTTGATCAATAGGTGTAAGTACGTCCATATCAAATGAATTTTTTGCTAGACCACGGGAGGCATCACGACCCGCAAAATTTCCATATGGGCCATCTGTAAAATCACGAATGAATTCATTATTCGTAACAATGAATTGCAATGTTTTGTAAAAAAATCAAAAAAAATAAAATAAAATAAAAATGAAAGATATATAAATATATATATATATATATACTAGCAATATCGCGACAACCACATATCCAAATCTAACCAAAATTGGTTTATTTTATTATACAGATGTGTAGAATTAAAATAAAACAATTTCAGTCGATGTGGTTGTTACAATATCGCTAGTGCTATTCTTGCTATTGCTAAAATCTGGTGGCTCTGAAATACATATACATATATATATATACATATACATATGCTTACCTGGTCCGTAAAAATTTCGACCTTTGGTAACATCATAAACGTTACCACGAATGCCAATATATATCTTTGTTTGTGAAGTTCTGCCATCAAACTCTCGCAGCTGTTTTGGAGTATATTCCCGAAATACTGTAGTTTCTGCGTGCCTTGCAACTGGCAAATTATACGGCACTGGACTTAGATAAGAATAAATAACGTAAATTAGAAATCCTGATAAGAACCAGTTTAAAGGATTTTCTTGAAGCTGAGTTAAGAGTGTTTCTTGTAAAGACATGTTAACGTTTAATTGTGATCAGTAATTAGTAAGTTTAGGAATTCAAAGTCTAAGAGACAAATAATAAGGCAGTGGCTAAAAATTTCATCCGATCCCGCAATAAAGGTTTGGACCGGTATCTGCTAATCTATTATTATAATTCACATGATTGAATATCATTCATAGTAAATCTTATACGACATTTAGCTCTATTTATTTGTTTCACGTTTAAATTAACCTTTTTTTACTTTTGGAAAGTGTAATTTCCTAAATTTCAAACTTCTGTCGATTGGATTCGGAATTTAGTGTGGCTTATCTTACAATGGAATGATAAGATTTCAGCCTTACGGGAATGAACATATTTGGGTAGCTAATAAGCCGGTTTGTTTCGATCCTGCTTTCTATTGCTTTTATGGCCTCCACACCGCCGCAAACACTTCTGCATCGCTTCGTTATTGTTTTTTTTGAAATAATCGGTTTTGACGGCTGTGTCTTAATTCTGGAACTTCTGGAACTATTTCATCGGCCTAAACTCTTCTAATTTCTTTATATCTAAGCGATTTTCAAAAAAAATCACTTATTGAATTTATAAATCATTTTTAATTTTTATTTGTTAAAGTAACACAGCAGCTCAATCATTTAACATTTGTATCAAAAATGCAAAAAGAGCAACTAAGCAAATTAACTTGTCCATAAACGTTCTGAAGGATTTATCTTCATTTTCTGTGTTGTCGCTCTCTGTAAACTTATTTAAACCGATATCTTGAGTGTGTGGACTGTTATTCTTCTTCGCTGATTGTATGATATTGATAACTATTCCTTAAAGGATTAAAAACAATGAGGTCGCACGGACTTGCATTCATTCCTGTGCGTCCTTTTTTATTATGGACCCTCGTCTTTTTATCTTTATTATTCATTTTCACGTATGCAAAAGCAAAACTTGACTCTCAAGAACTTGTCCATTTTACTCCTCCTCACTTCTCAAGACTAGTGAGTATTGTCGATGCTCTTCCTCCAAAACTTGACCTTAGTCCAATCAATTTGGTCCTCATTTCTACACTGGATGGCAACCTGCACGGTGTCGACCGGTATACTGGCCATGTGTTATGGAGTCTAGAAGGTGCTGCCGATGGCTCTTTAATTAAAACATCTACGCGTCCTTCTACTAAACAATATAATGTATCTGACAACTGTGACAACGATAAGTTTGATTATGATCTATTTCCCTACAATGATAATGGTCAACCGATCGACGATTCTCAACTATCCAAGTTAAATGATGATCCCGATCTAGAAATTACCTATATCGTTGAACCAAATAATGATGGTATTTTATATATGTTCTCTCCAGAGACCGGTCTTCAGGTAACTTCAATTCTTTTATCACAATGGTGATGTCATTCGTGGTTCATGTTATTAGGGTATATGCGGATTTACTTTTGCCTAAATTTATTCTGCTTATATTGTTGGTAAATTGTCTAATGGGCACAATATTATTAGAAATTTCCTCAAACAGTTAAACAATTGGTTATGAATTCTCCATTTCGGTCTGTTGATGGTAAAGTATTCATCGTCGGCAGTAAATCTACAAAATTCTTTGCCATCGATCCTGCTACCGGCAAAGTTCTCCAATCGTTCAACAGCGATGATGAATTAAATGAATGTCCATCTACTGGTTCACTTCCTCGAGATGCTTTGTATATGGGCATGAATGGTAATTTTTTTTTTAAATAATAATAATATAGTACAATTATATAATAATTAATATAATAATTCTATTTTATCAATTTTCCAGCGTATAAAATTTCAATCTTTAATGAGCGCGGTAAACCAAAATGGAACCTTACCTATACCGAATATGTCCCCCATAGTTTTGACGCCAGCATTGAAATGATACATAATACTTCTCCTGATGGTTCTTACATTTCTTCTACTCATAATGGTGAAGTTCTTTCAACTGACTCTACAAATGGTAAGCTTTTTATTTATAATTCATTTTAATGAAACCAAAATGTTGTATAATAAACTAATTGAATATGTATCATTTATTATTTATTATATTTATTCATTATATTATTTATTATATTTCTTATGTCATTGTTTTATATTTTTATATTTTTATATACGATAAAAAAAAGGCGAACATAATTGGTATCAGCAATTTTCTTCTCCAGCTGTCGGATTTTTTGATGTATTGGCATCAAAAGAATTGTCAAGCGGTCTTCATATCGTGAGACAACCAAGACCTTCTATTGCTTATTATGATCGTCGAGTGAAGCAAGAATCTTCACAATTATCTGCGTACATTGGAAATATTAACGGTACATTGTTTGTTATGTCGGTTGAAAACTATCCGTTAATCCAATATATACGGCCTGATAGTATTCCACCCGGACAAAATGAGGTTCCCGAGCATAAAGAACGTTGCCATCCTGGTTCATCAATATATCCAAAGTGTTTGGTTGGAAATCATGTGATCATCCCTTCTGAGGTACCTTTAATTGATCCTCCTCCAAAAGGCAACAATACCATTCCCGTGAATTCTTCCAAACCACAGATCACAGCGCAAGTCGGTATATCCTGGGCTATTATTATCATGGTCATTTTTGTGATCTTTTTTTGGAATGGAAGACGAGGAACTGGTTTAAGGTCTTCGTTAGAAAATAGAAGACGGTTTGGCTTTTTATTCAAAAACAAATTGATGGATTTCTTTAAACAAAGTCCCCAGCGTGACACACTTTCTACGAAGCCTGGTGGAAAAAAAGACCCTCCGAAGAAGAATAAGAAACGCGGTAAATCGGCGGCAGTAACAAAATCAACGGTAGCAAACAAAAAATCGGATGTAAAAGATGATGAAAAAATGAATAAATTACCTTCGATGAAAGGTGTGCCTTCAAAAGAATTGTTACCAATAGTTAATGATAGTGTTCTTCCTACGAGAAATCTTAATATGGATAATAGTGCTGTACCTGCGACCACGGAACATATTACCTCTACTGTTTCGACTGTTTCGACCAATGCTAATGGTGAAATAAAATTGAATTCTTTGGTGGTTACGGATACTATTTTAGGTATTTAAAAATATTTAAAACTAGTTTACGATTAATACGTTGCTAATACGATATTACTTTTTTTTTTAATAAGGTTATGGAAGCCATGGAACTATTGTATACAAAGGATCTTTTGAAGGTCGTGATGTTGCTATTAAAAGGCTTTTACTAGATTTTTATGAAATTGCATATCATGAAGTATCATTATTACAAGAAAGTGATGATCATCCAAATGTTATCCGTTATTATTGTAAAGAACAAAGTGATCGATTTTTATATATTGCTCTTGAACTTTGTCCCGCTTCATTACATGATTTGATAGAACGAGGTTCAACGTTTCAACATGCATATTTGTTAAAATTGTTACATCCTCCCTCCAAGATTCTTTACCAAATAGTTTCGGGTTTGCATCATCTGCATTCAATGAAAATAGTACATCGTGATATTAAACCACAAAACATATTAATAGCTCCATCTAAGAGTAAAAAGGTTACAAGAGATGGTGTTACACAATCAGCAACTGTGAGAGTATTAATATCAGATTTTGGTTTATGTAAAAAGTTGGATGGTGAATCTAGTAGTTTTCATAATACAACAAACAATGCAGGTGGAACTATTGGTTGGAGAGCACCAGAGTTATTATCTCCACCGTCACCAGACGGAACAAATAATGAAGTTTGGACATCTGTAGATCGTCTAAATGATAATTCTTTTACATCATCGTCATCAAGCTCAGATCATGATAATGGTCAACCACGAAGAGTAACAAAGTCTATAGATATATTTTCAGCAGGCTGTTTATTTTATTATGTACTTACTGGTGGTGACCATCCATTTGGTGATAGATATTCAAGAGAGATAAATATTTTGAAAGGAGTTTATGAATTAAACAAGTTAGATGGAATGGGTGAAGAAGGTATTGAAGCTAAAGATTTAATTGAAAGGATGATCGAACGTGACCCTAAAAAAAGGTAATACGATCAATAGATTGGTCTTGACTTGATTCACTGTAATATTATTACCAATGAAAATGCAATATTAATAATCGTTTATCGTTCACTCAACTATACTATAGACCAAAATCTGGAACAGTGATGATACATCCATATTTCTGGTCACCATCAAAAAGGCTTTCATTTTTACAAGATGCTTCAGATAGATTTGAGATAGAAGAAAGAGATCCACCATCACCACTTTTACAGCGATTAGAACAAGGAGTTGGAAAAGTTATAGGTTCAGATTGGCATAAAAGAATCGATAAAGTATTTATAGAGAATTTAGGAAAATATCGAAAATATGATGGATCCAAGATTAGAGATTTATTGAGAGCTTTGAGAAATAAGGTACATAATTCATTATTTTGGTTTTATTTTTTTGGGGGGGACGAAAAATTGTAATATCATACTAATCATTTTTTAAAATCTCGAAACAGAAACATCATTATCAAGATCTACCAGAACAAGTAAAAAAAGCATTAGGTCAAATACCTGATGGATTTTTATTTTACTTCACGTCAAGGTTTCCAAATTTGATGTTACATGTATATTATGTTATTGCAGAATTCGAAAATTTGAGAAATGAGAGTATATTCAGACATTATTTTGAGATACCTGGTGAAATGTGAAATGTATTATTAGAACTCGAAAAGTATTTAAGACTCTGATGATGATATTTATTTAGTTGGATAAGAAAGGATCTATTGGTCTTTGAGGTCTAACTTTATAGTTTTGACATTTCATCATCATAATTATTATTGTATTTGGTATTTTTAGTGTAATATTTGGGATTAGATTTTAGCGGACATTATGTGATTTGTCATTAAATTGACAGTTGGTTCTATGGTCTCAGGATTTATTATTTATTACTTAAAATTGGATGGGTTAAATTAGTCACCTATAATCCAATATTATTAATCAATAATGGGCATAGTTATCTGTTTCATCAGCCCGTGGCCAGCTTGAGGCTGCAAAGATGAAGATAATGGTTCGTGTAAATCCTGATGGAATTTATACACGTAAGAACAATAGTAGGCAATAGTAGAATATAACTTCGTGATTAGGTAGTTCATCAAAAATTATAATTAGGGTATTGGGAAAAGATTTATCATAGTAATATCATTAAAAAAAAATAAAAATAAAAAATAACAATTGAAAGTAAGGTTAGATTATGTGAAAAGGAAGGAAAAGGGATAAGGGCAATGTTCCTACTTATATTCGGGATAGTACGTTTGTCTTTTGGAATTCGGTAATTGACTATGTTATACAATGCAAAGCGTGCATAGATAGAACAGATTGTATTAATACTAGTTATTACAGGAGTCTTTTCCTTTTTTTTTACAAAAATAATATATATAAAAAAAAAAATAACATTTTAAATCATGTATTTTTTTATTTATACAAACAAAAAAAAAAAATAATAATATTTTTAAGGTTTATTTATTGAGCATATGTAATTTAAAGAAAACTTCCGGGTATAATTTAATTATTCGTTTATTTATAATCAAGCATCAAACAGATTAGGCCTTATATAAAAATTTCCCATTTGATATATCTTATCAACGTATCCCACACACGCATGACGTTGACAGAAAAAGCAAATAAATAAACCGACGAATATAAGAATACTCATTTGTCGAAACATCAACAAATCCAAATAAAGGTCACGTTCTTTATCGTTTAATTGAATTGTAACTTAATAAACATTACAGCAAAGATCTTTTTTTATATATTACGCAATAAACTTAATAGAATGTAGAGTTCCGAACCGGATGTAAAATTGTCACCCGGGTCACCCGTATAATCTGAAATCGGGTAAACCGGTTGAAAAAGGTTGGAATAATCGTGACGGCGAGAATTATGAATCGAATCTGAGACCCGAACAGATAGTTATCCAGTATTGGAATATGTGGTCAATCTGGAATACCAAAGTTTTCTAACCCCACGCGTGCAATTCAACTTTTACTAGCGTTTATTTCCTTGGCTATTATACTTGACTAGAGTATTGTTTAGGTACTCCTACCTAATAAGCAAGCACTCAGTGTACTATTAAAATAGTATGTATTTTTCTAAAGCCAATCATTGGGACGATTCACCTACACCTCTAGTACGTACATATTAGACTTTATGCATCAACCGTGCCGGATGCATAGGAACTGGGCCGCATTAAACAATGTTAGCCAACAGTCTAT